TTCTTTCTCTAACATACACACTTCACATTCACACTACTTTTGCTCTGATATACCAGTTTCTTGTTTAAATGATTAATTGTTCTTCACTGATATCCCTATCTTTCGCTTCCAGTGTATCCTTTATACTTCATAGAGTAAACATCCCAAGATTCCGTCAATCATATCACTTCCTACTAAAATTTTTGATGAATTCCATTTTTGTTGCCTGCACATTATATACCCAACAATTTTATATGACATTTAAGGCCTTCCTTAAGCTGACTCCAACCTATTTTTCATTATTTTCTCTTGCCATCTGCTTCAGCCATACCAGACTTGTTTCCTAATACCTAGGTACTTTCTTCCCTTTTGCATTTTTTCAACATGTTCTTTTACCTAATGGTGCATTTCTTTTCGCTATTATATCAGTTCTTCAAGGCTAATTTTTTGTCTTCATTTGAATGTCTAGGTATATTTTAGTGAAACATGTTCTTAGGATTGTTAAATACTCTCACTTCTTTCTTTTTCTTTAAAGATTTTTTTAATTAATTTTTCATTTTCATTTTTTAAGTAACTGGACACTGAACAAATAAGAGATGTTTTTAATTATAAATTTTGAGGCTGGCATGGTGGCTCATGCCTGAAATTCCAGCACTTGGTGAGGCTGAAGCAGGAGGATCACTTCAGCCACAAGTTCCAGACAGCCTGGACAACAAGCGAGACCCCCATCCTACAAAAAATTAAAATTAGCCGGCATTGGGGTGCCTGCCTGTAGTCCCAGCTACTTGGGAGGCAGACGTGGAAGATCTTTGGCTTCCAAGAGTTCGAATGCCAGCCTTGCAAATTACGTGGACCCTGTCTCTAAAACAAAACATAATACTAAGGAGAGGCAGAAATCATTGATTGCCGAGACGGGGTGGTGGAGGTGGAGTGATCAACCCAAAGAGGTATTAAAAGAACTTCTTGGGGTGGTACAAATATTCAATATCTTTTTTTTTTTTTTTTTTTATTTTATTTTTTTTTACTAACATCTCTAAAGCAGGTAGATATTCAATATCTTAATTGTGATAGTTACATGACTTTTTATCTTTTCCAAAATTCATAGAACTGTATACACCTAAAGTATGAATTATACTGTATGTAAATTACATCTCAATAAACTTGCTTTGAAAAAGATAAAAAAGGTAAACAGTGAAACAAATCTGTTTCACTCCTGCCTAGTCAAAATCTACTCATTTCCTATACTGCCCCTGGTCCTTTTCCCTTCCCACCACATTCACCTTTAGATAGCTATAGTTTTAATAGTTTCTTGTACATCCTTCCAGAATTTCTTCATGCACAATACAGCAAATACAAATGAATATTCTTATTTTTCCTTTTTAATTCAAAAGGTAGCATAGTGTACATTCTACACCTTTCTTTTTTTCACTTAACAGTGTATCTAGACAATCTTTCCACATCAGTATGTAGAGCTTCTTCATACTTTTTTGCAGCTCCAAAGTATATTCTGTCATATGGATATACTATAATTTATTTAATCAGTCCCCTATTGGCAAACATTTAGCTTGTGCCAGCCTTTTGCTATCATGAATGCTGATGATAATGAATGACTTTGTACATCCACTCTTTTTGCTTATGCAAGTATATCTGTGAGATAAAGTTCCAGAAGTGAAATTGCTGGGTCAAAGAGAATATATGCATTTGCAATTTTCATATATATTGCCAAAATACCATCCATTGGGGAGGTTTCAAGAGACTACCTATTTCAAGGCCCAATAAAATGCTGCCTAGTCTAAAGACCTTTGCTTCTTCCCTCCCACCAAATGAGACTCCTGAGCATTCGTTATAATCTGCTTTGGACTTGAATTATTCTCATATATGATTGTTTTCTCCAATTGGGTTTCAGTTGTCTTTACTACATTAACCCTTTGCACTTGCTTGCTTTTTTCTCGATTCCTTTATTCTACTCGGGATTTAATTTTTTAAATACCCCAGATTTTACAAAGCGGGGCAGTAGAATAAAAAACTGGAGTTTCTTTTCATACAAACTTATATATTTGGATTTTTTTATATTTCAAATTATTAATACATTCAAAGAGTAATTTTAATCTCTATAATTTTTGCTAACCATGTCAAGGCACACTCGACATCCGAGTGCAAAGGGTTAAATAAGGTGACTGAATTTCCTTGACATGTATTATTTGTTTGATTACTTATATCAAGATTTCTCTAAACAGCTGATCTCTTTTTGTATCTATTTCAACCTTTCCGTGGCAGAAGTAAGGTCAGAGCCAAGCCAGGGATACTCTTAAGTAGAAAGAATCTCCTGGGCTTGTCTTGGCTAGAAGCCCTTAGGAAGTCTAGTTATCCAGTTAACTATGGACTAAGCTGCAGAATGTGATAATAGATCTAGAGATTTTCATCTTGACAGTTACTAGAATGAAAATGGGCAAATTGCATGCTACAAAAAACAATTTTGTCTTAGCTGAAGGCTCATGTCAGGTAATAAATAAAAGGACAGCCTCTGCAATGTTATTTACTGAGAAGAATTGATAGTAGGCTTTCATATATTCTCTTAGATATTTCTCTTCTAGAAAAAGAAATCTGCAACCACAGTTCCATCAACCAAATCAAGACTATTAGACATTCCTGTTAATTATGATGTCTTAGGAAAATATTGAGACCCACTAACTATGATTGTCAGTGAATAGCAGCTAAGAAAACAAAAGACATTTTAAAAGATTGCAGAAACTTTTGATTACTGTGACTTGTCATTAAATAGAGAATATTTTAAAAATAATTGTCTTAAAAGAAAAACAATAAAGTAAAAGGAAAAAGTAGTCAATGAAAAGAAATGCAATAAATAAATAGCTAATTTGATTAGATTAAGCATAGATTACAAAGATGAGCAAATGGAGGAAGAACGCATAGACTGTTTATCTTATTCCTATGCATATGCATATGACCAAAATGATTCTGGTAAAGATTTTTAAAATAACATTTACTATAGTCTTTTTTCTGACTAGAAAAGTAACACATGTTAATGGAAGAAAATTTTAAATTACTTAAAAAAACAAAATAATCTACTAATGGAAATTATTGGCTATGATCATTTTCAGGTTGTCAGTGTTCATATTGAGCTATAGTGTCATTCTGAATCTTCAGGGTACTAACTTGATCCTTGTGAAGCAGTAGGATGGAGACCGTGTATGATTTTTAAGTTCAAAAGACCTTAGTTGAATGCCTGTTTTATAATTTACTGATTTTAGAAAAGTTACTTACCTCTCAGAGCCTGTTTCTATGTTTATAAAATGAACAAGACCAGAGTTTGTATTCTATGGACTGGAAAAAGCAGTCAACAAACAAATTAAAAGATAAATAACAATAAACAAAGTAAAAATATAAATAAAATTTATTTTGTGTACTAAAAAGAGTTATGAAAAAGAAATAAAGCAGGGTGAAAGAACAGGGTGGCATTGTAGATGAGGGGAGTAGTATTTTAGATTAGGGTGATTAAGGAATGTTTCTCTGGGAAAGTGACATTTGAACAAAGGCCTTAATATAGAGTAGTAGAGTTTGCTACTGGAGACATGCAAGGAGATGGCATTCCAACTTGAAAGAATAGTGTGCAAAATTTTGAGCTTAGAAACAATATTGATCATAGAAGAAACAATAGTATATCCATTGTTGAAGGAGGCAATTGCCAGATCATGGAAAGTCTTGTGCGCCAAATAAAAAGTTTGGACTTTAAGTTGAGTTCCCTGAGGGCTAGAATCCTGTATTATTAATGTTTAGCTTTATTCCCAGTACCTGGCATGTATTAAGTACCCAATAACTTGAATTTTTTTTTTCTTTTTTTTTTTATTTCGGCATATTATGGGGGTACAGATTTTAAGGTTTCAAGAAATGCCCATTTCCCCCCCTCCCCCCAAAAGTCTGAGTCTCCATCATGACCATCCCCCAGATGGTGCACATCTCACTCATTATGTATGTATATACCCGCCCCCCTCCCCCTCCCACCTTCCCAATACCCTATTACTGTAGTACCTATGTGTCCACTTAGGTGCTACTCAGTTAATACCAGTTTGCTGGAGAATATATCTGGTGCTTGTTTTTCCATTCTTGGGATACTTCACTTAGTAGTATGGGTTCCAGCTTTGAATTTTTAATGTATGAGTTGCATGTATAGGTTGGGAACAAGTTACCATCACCTTTGAATTAAGTTTGAGTAAAACAGCCAAGATACGAAAAGGTTGGCATGGTAGGTTACTTACTGATTTCTCATGGTCTTAATATATTTATTTGAATCCAGAGCCTAAATATTAATATATATATACTATGATGCTTGGCATAATTCTGGGTATATGAAATGTTCATAATTGTATATATGTCATAAATGCCACTGTATTTTAAAATGTAGGTAGGAAAGAAATGGGACTGAAACAAAACTAACTGAAATGTTATAAGTGGTTGTTTTAAGGTGTGATTTAGAGATATTCTCTCTCTAGTTTGCTATAATTTCACAGTAAAAAGTTAGAAATTAAAATAAATAGTGTTTTATTTTGACAGTAATGGACATGTGTCTCCCATTTACTTTACGGGCTCATGTGTGCTGAATCTGTTGCTATTTGAAGCACGCTTATTATTCTTTTCTTGGCTTTGTTGTAGCCTCGAGCTGTGGCAGGCTTTCGAGGGACAGTTCGTTATGCATCAATCAATGCTCATCGGAACAGAGTAAGTATCTAAACTAGAGTCATATCTGTATAAGCATGCTATTGGCTTGAATCTGATTGATCTCTTTACATTAGAGTATAAAGGTGTAGAAAGTGCGTAGGAATAGAGGATTCCCTTTATAGTGACAAAGTTATAATAATTCTTGGAATGATTGTTCCAATTCACTTTTTTTGTGTGTCACTGCTGGTAAAGGAGTTAGTAATACTTATGCATTGTAAGGTATATAGTGGATAACAGATATGTATAGTTACATAGAGAATAAAATTGAATTTGCCAGAAAAGATAATAGCTAAGTATATTTATGTCTATAGAGAATCTGTCCGTAATTAGGTAGAAGTAAGTATTAACACATTTAATATAGAATTTTGAAGAGATAGAACATCTGTATTCTATTTCAAGAAATTATTTGGGAATATAATTACTATAAATACCTAATGAAATGTAGGGATCATTATTTTATCTGTATTATTTATCTGATCTGTGATATCGCCTCCCCACCAAACCTTTTGTTTTTGTGAAGATCTCAAGTGCAGACAACTTAAACATTTTCATTTTAGTAAATTATCTCTTTCCTCTTGGGTTAAATTTTTAAAATCCCTCTCCCTCTTCATGTCTCCCCCTCCCTTCCCTCTCCCCCTGTCACCCTCCTCTCCTTGCTCTTCCTCTCCCTCTCCCCTACCCCTCCTCCCTCTCCCTCTTCCTCTCTTCCCCTTTTCCACCTCTCCCTCTCTCCTCTCCTCCCTCCTTTCTGTTCCCCCCTCCCTTCCACTCTTCCACTTTTATTACCTCAGTCCTGTTGTTCTGCTCTGATTTTTCCCCCTAGTCCTGTACCTTAATTATGAGTAGGAAAGGTGGGCATTATATGGATTCTCAATCCTTGAACTTGTTTGAGTGGAGATGAGAAGTTTAACAAGTGATTCCTTGATAAAATAAAGAGAAATCTTTTCTTTATACTTTTTTTTTAACATTGTTCCTATTCTGTGAAACCAGAATTGCTTTAATGAGAATTTGACCAGTGCTAAATATAGTAGGAAGAGTATGCCATGGTCTTATATGCTATGCTCCAGTTAATTTGTTTTTTTATGATGTGATTATAAATTGAAAATATTAAGGGCATTTTTATCAGTGTGTAGCACTTTGCCAGGCATTTTGACTCATTTGGTTTGACTCAGTGTTGCTTTATTTTATTATTATATAGTTAATTATTTTGCCATGAAAAGAAAGTTTTCCTATTTTCTGGATAGATTCTTATGAAATTTTAGAAATACTAGGTTTTCAATGAAATATATTAAAGAATTATGTCAACATTGTAATCTTGTGAAATGCAACATTGTTTTTGTATTTTCAGAGATTATAATAGCTATGTAAACATTTCCAAAAGGGCTACTAGAAAAATAATACAATCTTTTTTCCCTTAAATTTAAAGAGTGGAGACTTCTTATAAAAGCCTTTCCAGCAAAGAGTGCTCTAACAGTTAATTTGCATGCTTATTATTTGTTACTCATCTAACCTTGGTAGAGGAATTTGATAGTATATAGCACTGGTTCTTAACATGCTTTTCTGCCCTCAGCAGGCTTGCAGGATAGAATGCTTTCATAGTAACACAGCATCCTTCATAATGATTGCTAGTTTATGTGGTAACACAAGAGTGCAACTAGTGGGACCTCCAGAGATAATTAATTGTTTCCCAGATTATTTTATTTTATTTATTTATTTATTTATTTATTTGAGACAGAGTCTCACTCTGTTGCCTGGGCTAGAATGCTGTGGCGTCAGCCTAGCTCACAGCAACCTCCAACTCCTGGGCTCAAGTAATCCTTCTGCCTCAGCCTCCCGAAGTAGCTGGGACTACAGGCATGTGCCACCATGCCTGACTAATTTTTTTCTATATATTTTTAGTTGACCAATTAATTTCTTTCTGTTTATGGTAGAGATGGGGTCTCGCTCTTGCTCAGGCTGGTTTCGAACTCCTTGACCTCAAGTGATCCACCTACCTCGGCCTCTCAGAGTGCTAGGATTACAGGCGTGAGCCACTGCGGCCAGCTAGATATAGATTTTTAAATATTTATTCTGTTTGGGATTTGTTGTGCTTCCTAAATCCATACATTCATGTCTTTCATCAATTTTGGGAGATTCTCACAAATTACTTTTTAAAATATTGCCTCTTCCCCTTTTTGTCTATATCCCTAGATCTCAAAATTAATATATGTTAGACTCTCTTATTTTGTCTTCCATGCCTCTTAAATTCACTCTCAGATTTTCTAACTCTTTGTGTTTTTGTGTAGCATTCTAGATAATTTCTTCAGATCTGTTTTCTAATCCAGTAATTTTTTCTGCTGTGTTTGATAAGTGTTTTAACCTGTCCATTGAGTTTTAAATTTCTATTATTATGCTTTTTATTTCTAGATGTTCTTTTTGGTTCTTTTTCAAATCTGGTTGGGATTTTTTTTTCTCTCTCTTTCTTTCTTTCTTTCTTTCTTTCTTTCTTTCTTTCTTTCTTTCTTTCTTTCTTTCTTTCTTTCTTTCTTTCTTTCTTTCTTTCTTTCCTTCCTTCTTTCTTTCTTTCTTTAATTTCAGCATATTATGGGGGTACAAATGTTAAGGTTATGTATATTGCCCTTGCTCCCCCTCCCCCCTTGAGTCAGAGCTTGAAGCGTATCCTTTCTGGTGACTTTGGTTCCATTTTTCACTTAAACATTTTAAACGTTCTTATTTCATATTCTATATTCTGTAATTCTATTTCTGAAATCCTTGGGTATTTTATTCTGCTACTTGTAGCTTCTTCTGACATTAGCTTATGGTAGTCTGCTTCCTAATATATTTTATAACTTTAAATAATGAGCTTATCTTTAGTGAGGCTTTACTAGTACTGCTGTGTCCGATGAAGCCTAAATTTAAGGGTGTTTTTTTCATAAGAGAATTGTCATTTGCTTCTGTCATTATTGCATGACGTGATCACCTAGAAGACATTTGGAGTTAATTTCTTGGCTTGGTTTTCCAGACCAGACAGGTGGTATAAATTTAACCCCCAAATCTGAATGAGGAACAGGCCTGTGGTAACAAATTCTCAGGGCAGTTTTTTTTAAACTACTCACATTGTCCCTTTGATAGTTAAATTTTATAGCAAAAAAAAAAAAATTATTACAATGTAATATACACTCCAAATATTGCACTAAGGATGTAGCCTTTTTAGGGTCTTAGTTATATGACGGGGGCATTGGGAGTCTCAATTACAACTGTCTGGTGTAGGGCCATTTATACCTGTCCCCTTCCTAGTTGATAAAAGCTATGACAAATGCCTTCAAAATAGCTAAAGCTTCAGCGTCCACTTACTTCTCTTGTTTCCAACTTTTAAGAAAAATTCTGAAATTTGGGATTTCCCTTACTTCTTAATGAACTAATTAATGGGCTATTATAATATTTCCAGCATTTCTGAGTTTTGGGGTGCTCTTTGTTTCCAAAAGTTTTCCAATATATATTCTGTTCTATAGATTGCTATATAGCCATGTAAAATATGTAGATATATTTACTAGATAATTTTATGGGGAATAAATTTGAATTTCTAGGCCTAGTAAAATGAAACAAGATGGTTAGGCCTTAATACAATACACTCCCACTAGTAGTAGTAACATATTGTGACTGAGTTCTATTTTGTTTATGAAGGAAATGGGAAGACATGATGACCTTTGGTCCTTATTCTACATGTTGGTGGAGTTTGTGGTTGGTCAGCTGCCTTGGAGAAAAATAAAGGACAAGGTAATTTGGGGAATGGAGATATAAATTTTAGTATGGTAAAGAATAAAACTTTCCTCTGAATAAGCATTTTTTAAAAAATATACTTATGTATTAGACTTAAAATCTATAAGCACTTTTACTATATTCCAGTATGTATATTTGTCTCTCTTATATGCTGATATTAGAGATCTAATTAATGTTATGCCTTTTTCTATATACATGGAAAATAAATGCTAATTTTATAGTCATTGCTTCTGATTTGATTTATAGCCTTCCTTCTTAGCTTTTAATTTCACTAGTTCTCTCTTTTTTTAAGTCAAATGAGCTTTTAGCTTTTAATTGTCACATTATATTGTTTCATTTGAAAACTTTAAACACATATGTTGATAGAGTAGATCAGATTTAAGGTAAATTCTTGTTTTGGGGGACTATCAGTTTACTGATTATGCAGAACTCTATTACTTTTTGGGTTCTGCATTACAGTTTTTTTCCCCTTTAAAGCACTGTGCATTAAGCTATTAGTAAGAGCTCAGTTCTTGCTTTATACTTAATTACCCACTATTTCATTCCCTGGTACATACCCTTGAGACTTTTATTGAGGGCTCTTAATGCATAGTTGCCAAGAGAAATTAACTTTAGTTCCTTTTCTCTTTACTTTCTAGGAGCAAGTAGGCTCTATTAAAGAGAGATATGATCACAGGCTCATGTTGAAACATCTCCCTCCAGAATTCAGCATCTTTCTAGACCATATCTCCTCTTTGGATTATTTTACCAAACCAGACTACCAGGTAACCATCTTTGTCAGTTCTGTGGATTAATTCTTCTCTGTCTCTCATTCTCTGCCTTCACTCATTCTACCTTTGAGGAAGTTATAAATGAGTATGGGAGATCTCATAAGAATAAGACTATTTTAATACATCCTGAGAAATGTGGTAAAATTAACTGATAATGAGAATGTCTGTGTGTATGTGTTGTGTTTTGTGTGTTTGCTCCCTTCTTAATGAACATTAGAGTATCAGGTTTGTTCATCATGTAATGGAGTATACTCTTCCTACAGTTATTCATCTGCTTTATAGAACTGCTGATAGTTCAAATTATGTAAATTCTAGAGCTAGTTTCTCAACCAGAAGGAAATGTCCAAGTAGGTAATATACCTTTCAAGGAATTAAAGACTGGATACCATATGTTAATATGCTATGGGACAGGAGTCAGTGAAGATTATTGGCTCCATTTTGTCTGTTGTCAGTGAATCATTTCCTTAGAGCATCAGTTAATGAGGCCTTATAAGAGTCCACTAGGTTTACCATAAATGGCAACTCTAACCCTAAACAGCTATATTTCAGAAGATTCTGTTGCTCTCAGGGAAAACTTGGTCAGAGCTTAATGCAAAATAATTGCTACCACAGAAAACTAAATGAAGCCCACACATAGATTAATAATAATAATAATATGTATGAGTGTATTATTTTAATTTACAAAGGACAACAAATAACTTTTATTGCCTGTTAATGGAAGTTTTAAATTCTAAAGTGTTGTCAGTGTTGCCCAAAGACTAACAGTGTCTACAACACAGTGAATTTATTTATATATACTAATTATTTCTCTATGAAATTGCTGCTTTTGTATAAGATATAAATAAGATATAAAGCAGAGAGGCAACCTACAACCTTGGGTCCTTAGAGCCCTTTAGTGGGTGACCTGGACTTCTTTCACACATGGCCATTTGCATTATAAACCTTTTGGGCTGTCTAACAAATTGAGAAGATATGAGTTACATATGAGTTACTTTGGAATGTGTTCTTATATTTACATTTTATGTGTATTTTCTGAAATGTAGAAAGGTTACATTACTTAAATATTAAAATAATGAAATTATACCAGTAAAACTAGATTCAAGAGGAGCTAGAAAATGTTCCAAATTTCTCATGTTGAGTACTAAGAATTTTTATTGACAAAATTTGCTTGTGGTTCAAAATTTGCTAGGGGTTATAAAAGTTTAGGATAGTAAAAAAATTTTGATCACATTCTCTTCTTAGTTAAGCTTATAATCTAAAGAACACTGTCATATTTGCCAGCTAAAGTTTAAAATTTAGACCTATATTTAATTTAACAAATTATTCTCAAGTTTCTCATTTGAACATTATCTTAGGAGCTTCTCTGTCTCTCACTTAATAACAAAACAAAGTTTCGTAATTTTCCTATTTTGGGGAGATAGAGAGTAGTCCTGGCATTTTCTTTGTTTCATAGATTCTGTAAATAATTTGGTCCTTTGCTACTCTCTGATCTTTTATAAGCAGTGAGTGGGAGCAGAGGGCAAGTGTACAGGAGAATAATAATTGGGAAAAAGATGCTGATGTAAGTGACTGGTGTGTTCTGATGGCTAGTATCAATGTGACATCATGTTATAAGGTCTGAGCTTTGCAGCTTCTGCCTTTTGCTGCCCTCACAGAGCTTTGCAACAATCTTCACTTTGAGAAAAATTAGTCTGGTTTGAATCTGAATACCCTTGTGAACTAATGCTATCCCTATGGTTAATTTTACAGTTTGAAATTCATTCCTGAATTTGATTTTAATTACTGTTCTTTTAAATTTTAAATTCCTCATGGGACAACCAGTGTAGTTAAAAATAACAGGGCCCCTCCCAGGTGCAGTAGCTCATGCCTATAATCCCACCCTTTGGGAGGCTGAAATGGGAGGATCATTTGAGGCCGGGAGTTCGAGACCAGCCTGAGCAACACAATGAGACCCATTGCTACAAAAAATTTAAAAATTAACCAGGCATGGTGGCATGTGCCTGTAGTCTCAGCTATTCAGAAGGCCCAACAGCTATGATCATGCCACTGCACTCCAACCTGGGTCAACAGAGTAAGACTCTGTCTCTAAAAAAATCAAACCAAAACAAAACAAAAACAGCAAGAACAAACCTCCTCCAGGAACATGCATAAAGCATACCAGTATTTAGCATGACTATTTCCTGGGCTATAGTAAACATAAAATAGTAATATGTCTCCAACTTTGTATATTCTGAGCTAAGATCAAAGTGAATACACATCTTCTTATACAAAACATCATCCATGAATACTATGTAAATCTCTATGCACATAAACTAGAGAACATATAGGAAATAGACAAGTTCCTGGAAACTCACAACCTCCAAGACTCAACCAGGAAGAAACAGAATTCCTGAATAGACCAATAACAAACAGTGAGATCAAAAAAATCTCACAATGATAAAAATCCCTGGACCAGATGAATTCACTACTGAATTCTGTCAGACCTACAAAGGAGGTACCAATAATATAGAAATTATTCCACATATCAAGAAGTAGGGAATCCTCCCCAACTCATTCTACAAAGGTAGCATCACCTTGATACCAAAGCCAGGAAAGTTCACAACAAAAAAAGAAAACTACAGAACAATATCCCTTACGAGTATAGATGTAAAAATCCTCAGTAAAATACTAACAAAGTAAATTCAATAGCATATCAAAAAAATAATCCACCAGGACCAAAGTGGGCTTCATTCCAGGCATATAAGGATGGTTCAACATATGTCAGTCGATAAATGTAATATGTAAATCAATCAATAAATTATTTACCACATAAAGAAAAGCAAAAACAAAGACCATATGGTGCCCTCAATAGATGCAGAAAAAGCATTCAACAAAATCCAGTACCCTTTTATGATAAAAACAAACTAGGCATAGAAGGAACATATCTCAGAATAATAAAAGTCATATATAACAAACCCACAGCCAACATCATACTGAATGGGGAAAAGTTGAAAGCATTCACCCTAAGAGCTGGAACAAGACAGGATGCCCACTGTCACCACTTCTATTCACTATAGTCCTAGAAGTCCTAACCAGAGCAATCAGACAAGAGAAAACTATTAAGGATATCCAAATCAGGAAGGAAGAGGACTAGCTATCCCTCTTTGCTGACAACATGCTCTTGTATCTGGAAAACACCATAGATTCCACCAAGAATCTCCTGGAATTGATAAATAAATTCAGCAAAGTCTCAGGATACAAAATCAATGTACAGAAATCAGTAGCATTTCTGTATACTAATAACAGTCAAGCTTAGAGTCAAAGACTCAATACCATTCACAGTAGCTGTAAAGAAAATAAAATACCTAGGGATATATTTAAACAAGGAAGTGAAAGATTTCTTCAAGGAGAACTATGAAACTCTAAGGAAAGAAATCACAGAGGATATAAACAAATGGAAAAACATTGCATGTTCATGGATAGGTAGAATAAACATTGTTAAAAGTCCATACTATCCAAGGTGATTTACAAATTCAATGAAGTCCCTATCAAATTACCAAAGTCATACTTTACAGATCTAGAAAAAGTAATTCTATGCTTTGTTTGGAACCAGGAAAGAGCCCAAATAGCCAAAGCAATCTTAAGCAAAAAGAACAAAACCAGACTTCCAACAATACTACAAGTCTGTAGTAACCAAAACAGTATGGTATTAGTACAAAAATAGAGACATAGACCAATGGGATCAAACAGAGAACTGAGATATAAAACCTGCAATCAGTTGTTCATTGACAGAGCAAACAACAGTGTACAAAAGAAACCCTAACCAATAAATGGTGCTGGGAAAATTGGATAGTCACATGCAGAAGAATGAAACAGGACTCCTTCCTCTCACCACTCATGAAAATTAATTCAAAATAGATAAAAGACTTAGATCGAAGAATAGATCATAAGATCGAAGACTTAGATTATAAGAATTCTAGAGGAAAATATAGGTAAAACTCTTCTAAAGATATCAGCCTAGTCTGAGCCCGGCCCCAGGACACGGCGTGGGGCGAGCATGTTAACAGTCGGCAGCGGGAGGGGGGGGGGGGGGGGGGCAAATGAGCCCTCGCCCTGCCCCGGGAGCTGGAGCCGGAAGGTGACAGGCCTTGTTCACCCCTGCAGTTTTTCTTCCCTAGCTCCCTCTGTTTTTCTTCAGGCACAGCTTGTCTTATGATTCATTGTATGTCAACCCTGGAGCTCCCAGGCCTAAAGGCACTATACAGCCTCTATGGCTAAGGGATATATTAACATACACGTATGTGTGTGTCTATACACATAAATATGTCTATTAAAGTAATATGAAGAGCTTATAAGAATGCAGATTCTGGGGACCCCCCACTCCACCCCCGAGAGTTACTAAATTAGAATCTAGGAGGTCTAGGAATCTATATTTTAAAAGCTAATAAATTTTTTGATGTTCAGAAAAAAAAAAAAAAAAAGATACCAGCCTAGGCAAAGAATTTATGAAAAAGACCCCAATGGCAATCACAGGAACAACAAAAATTAATAAATGGGATTTGATTAAACTAAAAAGCTTCTGCACAGCTAAGGAAACAATCAACAGAGCAAATAGATAACCTACAGAATGGAAGAAAATATTCACAAGCTACACATCCGATAAAGGGCTATTAACCAGAATTTACAAAGAACTCAAATCAGCAAGTAATAAACAACCCTATTAAAAAAATGGGCAAAAGACATGAACAGAAGCTTCTCAAAAGAAGAAAGACAAATAGCCAGTGAACATATGGAAAAATCTCAACATCATTAATCAACATCAGTAATCAACATCAGTTCTCAACATCATTAATCATCAGGGAAATGCAAATTAAAACCACAATGAGATATCACCTTACCCCAGTTAGAATGGCATTTATCACACCTATAATCCTAGCAATCTGGAAGGCGTGGCAGGAAGATCATTTGAGGTCAGGAGTTCGAGACCAGCCTCAGCAAGAGTGAGACCCAGTCTC